GCAGTGCAGCAACACCAGGCTATGGAGCAGTTGGAAAATGAAGATGCCTGGAAAACGTCACCTGCACTACAAGATCAGGTGGAAGGTAGAGGCACCCAACAACTGGGGAGTGACAAAGCTAAGCAAGCATCAGTTCTGGTAAAATGCCTGCCTGACCTCGTGGTACCCAAGACTGACAAGAGAAAGGAGGCAGATGGCTCAGGTGCTGTGGCATAGAAGGGAGCCAAGCCAGCCGTTCAGGCCATTTGTGGGGCAGGCAACTTCAGGCAGGTAGGTAGTATGTGGGCCTCACAGGCACATCTGCATAGCAGGCAGAGAGGAGAGTGTGCATGGAGCAGAGGAAGAGGACCAGGTGAGCGATGATGCTGATTATGTGACAGCACTGCTGAGCAAATCCCTCTGAAGTGCAGGTACAGAGCCAATGTGCTTCCGCTCTGGGAGGCCTAGAGGGGAGGGACACCCTTGGGAAGCCTCCCAGCACTCCTGCAGGGTAACCTTCCTTTCAGAACCAGAAAGGGTCCGCCTGTGGCACAAAACCCTAGGCTTCAGGAGGGCAGCTGGGGAGAGGAGTGCCTTCGGGCCAGGGAAGATGATGGGGGGAGGTGGTGCCTGCCTGCTCGCTCCGCTGGACTCCCACGTTCTCCAGGTCCCGGATATCCCTTGGGTCTGTCTCCAGGAAGCAGGATTTGGAGAGCATCTGCTGTATGAGACTGGTGAGCCTCCCCACCTGAGCCCCTGACCCAGGACTTACTGAGTAGTCCCTCTCAGTCTCCCAGTGTGTGCACACACAGGGGGAGATGCCAGCCAGGCCCCCACCAAGCCCTCTGGGGCTCCTGCAATGCCAGAGGTCACATGCCATGGAGCTAAGTCCTCCAGCGCTACATCCAGTCCAAGGTCACCTGGCACCTCATGTTCCCCCACTCCTGGTGTACTCAGCTCCCAACCCAAGTCTCCCAGGAGCCACTGAAGTCCCTCTTCCCCAATGGGCACCCTAAGTCTCTGCCTGCCTCCCGGCTGGCTGGGAGCTGCCCACCTAAGAAACATGGTCGTTACTGACCACAGAATGCAACTTCTTGACATCGGCTCACTGGGAGCCCAGAGCTGGACACCAACCTCCAGGTATGGCTGGGTGAGTACAGCCTGGCACATTCCCTACTCACCCCAACTGCCATCAGGACAGGTGACCCCTGTTCACTCTTCAGTGCCCACACTGTTCTCAGCCTCTGCTGCTGTGGATTTTTGTACCCAGGCCCTCCCAGGTCCCATAAACTATTTCCCAACTTCCCGGGCCCTCCCCAGCAAGCCCATGTGAGGAATAGTTTACTTACCACTCAGAGGTGGGCAGGAAGCAGTGATCAGGTCAGCACTACCCCGTCCCACGCTGGGACTGCGAGGACGCCCATGCCAAGAACCCACCCTGCTGGCACAGCTGTCATACACACATGCCGTGGCCCCTGGTCACTCCCAGGAGGGGCTTTCCCACTTTGGGGCCAGGCCTCTGCACAGCTATGCAGGCAGAGCCGATCCAGGTCCTTCCCACCACCCGGCTCTGGAGCACCATCTTGCAGGAAGAGCGGGGAAAACCCCAGGCTCTGCTGGCTTCATCCCAGGAGTTTCTTGGCTGTCCCTCAGAACCTTTCTCCCCAGTTCACTCAAACACCCAACATTTCTTTTTCAGTGTTGAGATCAAACCGTGGGCCACACACATACAAGGCACAGGCTCTGCATGAGCCACATCCCCAGGGTCCCACTCCCCTTATACACGAGTCTCTCTCTCTCTCCCTGTTCCTCCCTCACGATCTCATCCTTTCTCAAATACTCCATCTTGGGTCGGGGATTTAGCCCAGTGGTTCCTCTGCCTGCCTCACAAGCACAAGGTCCCGCGTTTGATCCCTGGTACAAAAAAAGTTCAATCTCTCAAGTATTCAATTCTCCTCTCAAATATCTTCCTCAGTGTCTCGGATCCCTCCTCATTCTCTTCCCACCACCCAACTCAACACTCCAGGCTCTGTGCCCTGGGCATGGGTGCTAAACTGAGGCTCCGTGTGAATGCACACTTGCATATTCGATGTGGCACACATGCATGTTGGTGTGTACTTCTGTGCAGTGTTCAGGGTCAAGCTCTGGCTGCAACCCCATGTGCCACAAAAGAGACTAAGTAAGCAAAAGAGACAAAACTTGGCCCCAACAACTCACCATGTAGTGGGAAGGACATGAAAAAACGAGTTACTCAGATACATACAAGGACAACATTCACCACAGGCACAGTTGGAGGTGACACCAGATGCCCCATCAGGAGGGCTATCTTAGGATCTTGCAGGGCTCAAGAGCCCTGATCATCTTCCTGGCTCTGAGTCTGTGGCTCTCACACGGTTTCCTCGGTCCCAACAGCCACCAGGTCACATAACTCCTAACCATGTACAGGAAGATGCTGCTTCCAGGAAATTAGCTTGTAGAATAGAGGCCAAAAAATTTTGGGTGTTTAGCAAAGTATAACTGGGTGTGTGGCATCAACACTGAGATCTGAAGATCTGCTGAAGGGTGAGTGGGCCCCCCACAGAGGGAACTGCATATGCAAAGGCTCTGCGGCAGCACAGTCACTAGTCCTGACATAAGGCAATACAGGGCCCAGGAGCTTGGAAAAAAAAGGGCAAAGTGTGGCCTCATTTCCCACATGTTCATGACATTCATTCTTGACCTTTGATGAAGTATGGAGGCTCCAAGCTGTGATGGCTCAGTCCAGCTGACTGGGAGGAGGCTGGCAATGAAACAAGTGTGGAGAGCCATGATGTCATCCATGGCTGGATGAACAGGGGTCACCTCCACAGCAGGCACAAAGGAAGAGCAAAAAGCAGCACTAACCGTGCAACAAAAACAACCTACTAGCCAGATATGGTGGCGCACACTTGAGAGGCTGAGGCAGGATACATAGTGAGTTCAAGGCTAGCTTGAACTACATAGTGACATCCTGTATCCAAAATGAAAAGTAGAAGAAAGCAGAAAAAGAGAGAAAGGAGGAAGAGGAGGAGAACTATAGTCAAAGCAGGTGTGATACTGAAATCAAAAAAGGGGGCAATCGGAAGACCACAAGCTTTGCAATTAATTGGTAAGAAAGCAAAGTAGCCCAGCTCAAAAGGAACCAAAATCACTGAGCCTCTCATTACTGAAATTTATTCTCCTGGCCCCAGTGGGAGCACTTCTACCAAGAAAACACCATGATCTAGAAGTCTTTTCTCTGGAGACTTCCCCTATCTCAATGCTTACCACTGCTGTTAAGTACCTAGGTACTGTAGCAATCACCAAACTCCCATGTACTTGGTGCCTCAGACCACAAGAGGGCCTCCAACCTCCAGATTCACCTCAGCTGGACCGATGGCCACCACTTTCAGCTCACCCTCTTGGGCATGGCCAATCTGTTCTGGTTCCCAGCGCCTCACTCCCACCAGAAGAATGATTCTACCAGCAAAGAGATCCCCATTCTAATAGTAGGAGAGGGCGAGAAGAGTAGCCAGGAAGAGGTGATTCACAGGAACAGATTTCAGTTGAAAGAGTCCAGGAAAACCATTAGTACATCATGACTAGGGGCATCCCCCCCCCAAAAAAAAATCTAACATAACCTACCAGTGCAAAGCCTGTCCCCCAGTGCTCGTGAGACTTTTATTTTCCCTTCACTGAGGACTGAATCCAGGGCCTTCCCACTAAGTGATGTCCCTGGAGTCATTTTTTTTTCCTTAAATCTTGAGACAGGCTCTCACTGAAATGCCAAGGCTGGGCTCTAACTCCACATCCTCCTACCTCAGCCCCCCCAGTGTGCTGGGATTCCAGGCATGCAATAGGATACATACCCAGTCTTCCAAAGAAAAACCTAACCTACATTCCCTGTAACTGTAGTTCACGAGGCCACTGCTCCCAAGACACTGACACACAAAACCTCACGCTATTCTGAAGTCTAAAGGCAGACACACAGTGAGATTTTAAACGAATTTATACAAAAATAATTAAACTACAACGTCCTTACCATCTAAAATCCAACCAGCCATGTGATATACAAATGGGATGTTTGTGAATCTGCTGTCATTTTAAGAAATAAAACCTTGGTCCAAGCTCTTAGAAGAAAACTATATTCTTTTAAAGAAAATGAAAATATCCTCAAACTTAAGGAAAAACTTAATTTAAGTCAAATTATCTCTTTTCTCGTAGAGCCTGATACACGTGCGCACGCACAGGTGCTTCCCCAGCAAGGCGGGCAGGGCGCCCCCTCGCGGTCCCTCTTCGGCGTCGCCTGCGTCTAGAATTCCGTGCGAGGCGATCTTTTCCCGGCGAGGAAGACGGCAGGGAGGAAGGGCAATCCCCACGCCAGGAGCCAGGGAAAGCGAAAATGTGGCTGAAAACACCCTTCCAAGCCCCCCACGGCCAAACCCCAGTGTTCCCCGAGGATGTCGTTCTTCACCCGCCCCGGGCCCCACGCAAACAAGGCACCTTCCCGAGGCCCAGCGGGCAGGGCGTTCGGGACGCACACCGCGCGCCCTCCACTAACCCACCTTCCAACCACCCTGCCCGGGGAGGACGCTCGGAGGGTTCTGGAACCAAAGCCAGTGATGGGGCAGGAAAGGGGGTGGCTGGAGGAGGCACAGACGGTGAATAAATAGAAGTAGCTTCAACGCGGGGGTCCGGCCCCTGCGAACAGCACAGGACAGCAGCTCGGCCGGAAGCGCGCGAAGGGAGGGCAAGGCTCAGCGAGACCCTGCCCAC